GATACGCCGTTACTAGACGATAGGAAGAGTAGTCTAAGGACTGAGCTCCCCGCACTCCGCTTGTCACTCCAATGAAGTCCGAGCTTGAATGGCTTGCGAATTCCCGCTTAAGTAACCTAAAAGACGCTCCATACGTATGCTAGTATCCATGAGGTTGTTTCCAGCTTGGAGTGCTATGACCAACTCTATCTGGTTTTTTTTAAAAACCAAGAAGGTACGTATGCACAGGATGAATGCGTTCCGATAAGGTCAGCTTCAACCTAGATTGGGTCAATACGTTGAGACAATTAGTGATGTTTAAGGGAGATCATTCAGACAGGTTTATTGAGACGCAATCGGTGAGATTCAGGTAACGAAAATTACCCGGACAAGTACTAGCGAATATAAAATGTCTTTATAAACGAATCAGTAGAATCAATTGATATGTCTCAGTAATCAACCCTACATATTTGTCGATTTAACCATGCTCAAAACATATTAATCACAGTTGTGCCAAACATTTAAGTAAACGAAATGCGGAAACCGAGAAAACCCATCCAAGTAATTATCTAAAACCGAAATGAGGGGAACCAGGTAAATGTTAGACTGAAATGTATGACGAAACAGCGCCATAAAAGTCAGCCCTAATAAATATATTTTGTTTTAATGTGGTTTAGCAGTGTTTTGTTATTTGCCTTCTAATATAAAAAGGCTATAATTCGTGAAGAAACTAGGGAACGACGCATGCGCATACAAAAAACGATGGATCTGCCCGCTAAATGGTTCAACAAGAGCTCTCCTAAAACGAATCTCCCCTAAGGATCATTTTCGAAGCCACCCGACGGGCTTTTACATTTGTCAGACAAAAATGCCTAATCGTTTAAAGTTTCTGACCGATTAACTCGATGTCACTTTTCCTATAAAAAAATATACTATGTGACCATAGAAGCTTATTTCTACGCGATAGTCTGTATCAAATACCTATTGTTTTTAGTTCTACTCTTAAAGATGATGTGCGTTAGCCAGTAATAAGAATAACACTGACAGGAGACTTTGTGATTTTCATGTAGATTCTGTGATCATATGTATGTAAACCCCCGTTGGTGTAAACGCTTGAAAATTTGCTATCCAAATGGAAATTTTCTCCTGATTTGTAGGAGCTAAAAATCTTGAGCAAGAAACTTATGACAACGGATGCTTTTATTACCTTTCGTCTTCACGAATGAACATTCTGATTGTGATACTTTATGACCTGTATTTAAACCAACGCCAACATTTTTATCCATATAAAATTAACTATTTATGTGCCCATGAGATTTTCTAGGGTAGAATTATAACTCGCTTAAGTGTAAAACAGTTATCAGTTCCACGTGGTGAATAATAAAATTCACTAACATTTTAAAAAGTCCTCTTGATAAGCATAAATAAAGACTAGACGTATTAAGGTCCCAATTACTAACTAATAACTTGGATGATGTATAGTGCGATCCAGACTTACGCTAGGTTTGTTGGAGTTTTATGTGTTATCAGTTTAGTAAGCGAAAGACTGAGTTCCTAGGTCTCATAAAAGCTTTTTAGTAGGTTTTATTACGACTGAGTGGCTAAATAGTGGAACATCTACCAAAGATCCTTAATTGGACCTTTAGTGCGATAAAAGGATTACGGCTAAGTGTGGCGTTTCTGTGTGTTAACTAAACACCATATATATTCCACAAACCAGGATTTTGACTTATCTAGGTGTGTTGCTTCCCAAATTACTTGAGTTATCGTATAAGCAGTTTAATTAGTTTCCATGTACCAATGCCAATGTTGGACTTGATAGTTTCGAATAAATTGATCATCTGGTAGAAATTTAATGATAAATATGCTTTCTGTCATATCCCAAAAGAAACGATGTCTTGTTTGTAATTTTCGAACTAGAGCTAATTTTGTTTCGGTTATCTACTCTGAAGAAGTGGCTAAAATCACATCACGAAACGTCAGGAATAGTTTCCTACTCATTGGGATATCACAAAAAATGTCAGCTTAATCAATGATTGGCATTCAATATCCAGGGAAACCCAATCTGCCCCATTAATTTCGATTTATAGGTGCTGACGTATATGCTTTGTGTTTCAAAGAGGTTGATAACCAAATGCTACTTACCGAGCTTCTTATACTGTACTTCTACGCACTTACACAAATATTATCACTTTAACCATAAGATCTGTGCAAACTAGAATTTAAGCAGGTTATGGGGTGCCACTACTCAATGATGAATGGGAACCTGGTTGAATGCGATTTACAAGTTGATACAGACAGTCGGAAAAAAGTTAAGAGGAGACAGACAAAGACACCACCAGTTAGTGAAATCAGTAACTGCTGGCATGAGACATATCGGCAGGCCCAGACATCTTGTCTAAAATCCGCGAAACGATCATATTTCATGATCAGAGCCGCCACCTGGCATGCATTGGCTTGTGGCTTAATGTGTCCCCTCTCTCCCAATCCCGATAGCGTTACTCTACATAGCAGTATGGAGACTGTTAAGTTTTTGATTGAGATCATAGGCTGATCGATATTGGGCCACCGTTGGCAACTTGAGACTACCGGACGGCAGTTTCGTCTCAGTGTGAGACTCAGAAGTGTGCACCCATGACTCTATTCTCTGACTTCATTCGTCTTTTTTCTGGACAGCAGCTATCTTTGCCCGCATACTACAACGAACAACATTGCCTGTCTTCGTCTTATTAATTTCCGCTTCAGGTGTATTCACAGTGGGTGAAGCAACTTGACTTGATGAACATCCGTGTCAAGTCTATAAATGACTTAATTTTGTACTGGCTTGTAGATCACGTTATCAGCGGTAGCCGAGGATGCACAGCACACGATCCTAATGCATTGGTCGATGTAATATTAATTATAATGTAATATCGATTAGCGCCTTTTACCCAATACTTCAGGTGTGAACTTATCACTATTTATTTAGCTCTAATGTAGGTGATGAGTAAAATAAGTGGAACAGTCAACGTTCCTAACTACTTTCATTCCTATTAATAATCAAACTAAGTAATGCCGCCTTGCAAAAGGTGAGGCGACATCCTGTATATGTGAAGTGAGTGATCTTGGGAAGTAGTGCGTTCAAGGTGATGATAACTGTAATCAAGGTACTCTATTTCCATAGAAAGTATACGTAAAAGAAGAACCACAAGGCAAAACGAAAGTGGTTACATGTAGGAATATATGACACCACACTGGACAGTAGGATCAGACGAATATGAGCATCCTTCGATGTAATCAATGGAGATAGCGATTTGACGTAGGACCCTACCTAAGTACCCGGGTACAGAGCACTGTGACATGAAGCTACAGCTAAATGGCTAGAAAATATACGGTTCGTACATCTTTATTGATCAATCTGTTTTCTGTTCACTAGTACTTACTTTTTCTCATGAAATCGGGCCAATATGCATCAAAAGGAATAATGTTCAACTCCCTCACGCTAATAATATTGAACCCTCATTGTTGAAAATACTTAGGATCTCTTGATTTCGAAGCAAGACAGAAACTGAAGAGTAACTGTGGGTCGTTTGGACTGATTCTACAGGTTCTTTGTTTATTACACAAGAAATCACAGGGTTTTACATAAGGCCTGAGGTGCAACATGGGATAATAGGGACACCGAAAACTTTGATACATGAGGTCCACTCTGAAGAAAGCAGAGACAACTTTGCGAGCTCGACGCATCAACGCTAATTAGTTGCGGGACAGAAAATACTGCTGCCGAGTAACTTTTCAAAAGCAAAAACAGCGTAGATCGCTGACAGGTGACTTAGGGTTTTCTTAAGAAGCTGATAAATTAACCCAAAACAAACTCACCTGTTAGAGTATCCCGGGCAAACAAAGCTTAAAGTTGGCACATCATAGTCCTAATTCTTATTCCACTCACTATCGTGAAGTAGCGCCGACTATGATTCTGACTACTAACTTCACTCACGGTACTAAAGGTAAGCTCAGGGAGACTTTCTCAAGCTTTTCGAGGAACAGCGATTTTAAGTACGCGGATGACAATCTAGTAGTACATGGGGAACTTTTAGACATCTTAAGAAACCGTTAACCCCAACCGACTGAAGTTGCGTTTGTCTACTTAACGCCAAAACCAAAATACAACGTTGTCTTACAGCGTAATCCACTACTATGCCTAAAAGTGTCACTAGTCATTTAAGTACTCATTAACTAGCGAGTTCTGTAAAAACATAAAAACCAGTTATGGGATACCTGTTATGTACGATCAGTAGCTAGCAGATGTGATGGACAGACCAGAACTACAAAGCTGGACTCGAACTAGCAAAACGGCGTGGATATTTTAGCTTACTGTCACTATCGCCGACGAAATCTACTCTTCATTAATTACTAGTGGTACAAAATGTTTATCACAGCACCTAATAGTGACGATTAACGGTACTCTTTGTACATAAACAATGGCACAACCAGACACCAAATACATGTGTGCCACACAATAACGAGGCCGATGGCAGTTGTCATTGATGTGTAGGGGCTGTGATACTTCCCGGCTGTCTAGACAAATGTTTCGCGAAATTACTTAGTTTGAAAGATGTCACCACTACAACACTTCGGACAGACTAATAACGAGGATAACTAGTGACCTTGTATCCAGCCGAAATTGACGCCATCCACAAGCATCACTTATCTATCAACTGTTGTTGCACTAAGTAGATATCGAATTTGCAGATATAGTCGCAGGTGTCTCAACCTACCAAGTTTATATAATATTCAGGTCACCAACGAACTGGGTGAGTGACGATACTTAGTCGTAGTTGGCAACATCTCAGAAACCAGATTTAGGTAAAAGAGCCACGATAGTGTTTTGCAATTATTCATATTTCAAGCAACACATTTCTCTATTTTGCAGGAAGGTCACAAATAGTAGACAAAGAACCAAGAACACAAATACCAGACGGATGCTACGATACTGGTGATGGTTTCTACAATCCATTGACGAGAGTAGTGACAGATCATAACGGATGTTTTCTTCGCAATGCAGGTAGGTTTGGTGATATACTATTGATGTACTAGACCATGAGGAGCATACATGGATTGTCGCCAAATGTAGGAAAGCATGGGATGAACATGTCGGTGCCACGTATGACTCTGAAACTATTAAGCGGGGAGTGAAGCCTTATTGACTACGAGATACTAAGGTCTGATTCAAATAACACTAGAAATATATTTTTCTCTCAAACATAATAAAAAAATTTTACTTAGTGTCGTGTGAAATTTTATTCAAATGGGATTCTGTTTACTTGTCTGAAGTAGTACGAACTTTTAGTGCTTGCCTTTCGTCCATAGCAGATAATATAGTGACCTAGGAAAGAACTTTATTACCCACGAAGCAACTTACAATCATATTCTCTGTCTCCCCTCTAGAATTCCATTTTTCCTTCAATTCCTTTCCAACTTCATTGTCAGGAACGGGAATATCTTCGATGACGCATAAATCGTCGCCCATTAGTGACAAGAACCCGTCTTTGATATCCACCAGTTGATAATCCTCACTTTTTATCACAGGTACATCCATAGTGTGTGATGATGTGCGATTCTCTTCATATTTCTTACCAGTGAATATATCGATCCCAACTATGTGCACTTTCGCAGAGCCATGTTTCCCGGTCTTCGACGTAGACATGTCCACGATTTTGCAAGGACGATCTTTCATTACGACATATCCGCCTTTCCTCAAAGAACTACACTGTTTCGGTAAAGTTTTTGAAGCCCCAGAATCTCCAGTTGCAAATTCTTCATCATCTACTATAGACATACTACTTGTGGGGCACGCACAGCTAACACCACGACTAAGACAATCTAGGAGACGCGCGCTTACTAGTACTATTAGTGAATAAAAACAAACTTCAAATAGTTCAAATGGTTTTGGACGGAATAGAAGAAGCTTTCGCTGGTTGGGCTTCCGTGCCTGGTAGAAGTGGATCGCCAATACCTCCAGGCAGAAACCTGTGTATAAAAGAGGAAAAAGAAAAAAATAGTGAGATACTTTAAGAATATGTCAAGTTGACTCTTAAAGGACGCCTGGTAAGTCGCTTGCATTGATTCAGCTGGCAGCGAATTCCAGTAATTGACGACTCTTAAGGAGTAAAAGTTATGTCTCAAAAGCTTTTGATAAGGTTAACCACTTGTGTCTTACCAATAAGCTCAAACGACTAGGTATCAAACCACCTCTAATCGATTGGCTTACTTCATACCTAAAAAATCGACACTTTAAGGTTAGGGTCAATTTCACTTTATCTCAGGCTATGGAATGTACTAGTGGGGTCCCCCAGGGCTCAGTACTAGGGCCTCTTCTCTTCTTGATCTACATAAATGATCTTCCTCAACAGGTAACGTCAGACTTATTACTTTTTGCCGACGACGTGAAACTTTGGAGAGAGATACGCAACCAAGACGATATACAGGCACTTCAGGAGGATCTGACTCGACTTCAAAGTTGGGCAGACGATAACGGACTTACCTTTAACACTTCAAAGTGTAAAGTAGTCCATCTGCGACATGTCGCAAACTACAGTTACAACTTAGGAAACTCCTCTCTAGTAGTATCCCAAGTCGAAAAAGATTTAGGAGTCCTGGTGCCCCATGACTTAAAGTCTTACGCTAACTGTGACAAAAATGCCTTCCGAGCAAACCTTGCACTGGTAACGTTGAGGCGCATTTTTGGCCAGTTTGACGGAAGAACTTTCCACACAATCTTCAATAGTTTCATCCGTCCCCATTTAGAGTACGGAAACACAGTACTCCCCCCTCACTCCAAAATGACAAGGTCACTTTGGGGCGTATCCAACGGCGAGCCACGAAATCAGTTCGAGGACTCAAATCTAAGCCTTACGAAGAACGCCTCCGTTCACTAGACCTTTACCCACTAGAGTATAGGCGTCTTAGAGGTGATTTGTTAATGGCTTATAGTATTCTTAACACTTCTGGACATCCTCTTAAACACCTACTTAAGCTTAGTTCGAATAATAATCTAAGGGGTAACACCCAGAAACTGGAAACACAACATAGCAAGACGGAATGTAGACACAACTTCTATTCCTTAAGAGCTGTCAAAATCTGGAATTAGCTACCAGCCGAGCTAGTCTAAGCAACTTCTCAGGAGTCCTTCAAGAGGCAACTCGACCTATTCTTAAGGACCAAGGACAGCATCACACTATGATTTACCAATTTATTTTCCTTTTTTATTGTTAACATACCTAGGTTCCTGCCTGGAGGATTTGGTGATCCCCTGCTACTAGACACGGAAGCCTGTTAAGCGAAAGCTTCTTCTATTCCGTCCACAACCATTTGAACCTTTGGAATCCGTTCTGCCGTGTTGTGTCTCCAGTTTCTGGGTGTTACCCCTTACGTTTGTGTTGAAACTAAACTTAAGTAGGTGTTTAAAGAGATGTCCAGAAGTATTTAGGATGTCGTAAGCCATTCAAAGGTCACCAATAGGACGCCTGTACTTTAATGGGTACAGCTTCAGTGATTGGAGGCGCTCTTCATAAGGCATGAATTTGAGTCCTAGAACTGATTTCGTAACTCGCCATTGGATACGTCCCAGAGTGTCCTTATCCTTTTGGAGTAAGGGAGGAAATACTATGTTTCCGTATTTTAAATGGGAACGAATGAAACTGTTGAAGAGTATGTGGAAAGTTCTTCCGTCAAACCGGCCAAAAATGAGCTTCAATGTTATTAGTGCAAGGTTTGCTCGAAAGGCGTTTTTGTCACAGTTAGCGTGAAGCTTCAAATCATAGGGTGCCAACACTTCAAGATCTTTTTCAACTCGGGATACTTCTAAAGGGGAGTTACCTAATTTGTAGCTTTAGTCTGAAACATCTCTCAGATAGACTACTTCACATTTTGGATTGTTAAAGGTATGTCCGTTGTCATCTGCCCGACTTTGAAACCGAGTCAAATCATCCTAAAGTACCAGTTGGGGGACACCAATAGGACATTCCATGGCGTGAGAAAAAGCGGAGTTAACCCTGACCTTAAAATGTCGATTTTTTAGATACGAAGTGAGCCAGTCAATTAGAGGTGATTTGATACCCAATCGATTTAGCCTAATGATAAGTATATATGGTTGACCCTATCAAAAGCTTTTGGGAAATCAAGGTAAATGATATCGCCCTTGCCCTTGCGATCAAAGATAACTGTGCATCTGTCCACCGCAGTCAGCAGGTTGATTATACAATGATAACCCTTCCTGAAACCATGCTGTTGGGGTGAAAAGAAGTTTAAGGATAATAAATGGTCGAGTATACCGTCGCATATCAGGGACTCCATACTTCCTGAAGGTATAGAGAGAAGGACCACCAGTCGATAGCTTGAAGGTTCTCTGCGTCGACCTCCTTTGAAAATTGGTGTGATGTGAGACAGCTTCTAAATCTCTGGTAATTTGCTACGGCTCAGTCAGAGCGAGAACAGCACGCCAAGCGGTGTTGCCAAGATTGAAGCAGCTTGCCTCAGTATAGCAGAATAGACCATATGGGGACCAGGAGGACAGATATAAATTTGGTGCTGCACACCAAGTCAGCGCTTCGGTTCACCTGTGAAGAACGTGCGGAATTACAAATGAAGCTTTCATCATTAGTGTGGGTCGATTGAAATGTCTAAGAGTACAGTTCAGTCAGAAGTTTATAGGCGTCACCGTCGTTACTAGTTTGGCCATTAGGGCCTAGCAGTTGAGAAACTTCAATTTTGACCTGTTGAAGAGAGGCTGCATAACGGAATAAGCTTTTCATATTGAAGTCAATTGTATCGGTAAACTTGATTTGATACTGAAGCCTGTCTTCTCTTATTGCCTTTGTGTATGTGCTCCTTATTTGTTTGTATTGCCCGTGTGCGCCGTTGTTACCAGTTCGTTCGTATTCCGTCCAGCAGTGCCTTTTGTGGCCTAGCAAACGAAGAGTGCAGTTCTTGATGATTGTAGGTTGCTTGTAGATTTCAGGGACCGTAAGTGGGACAGACTGTTTTGTGCAGTAAGAAATCCCAATGAGTATCCACGTAAATTTGAGGGTGAACTTCCCAATCCACCTGTTGCAGATAGTCCTGTAAAGCTGAAACATCCAACCGTTTGAAATTCCAGCGCCTGTTTTTGGTAGGATGTTTTAGCTCAGTTTTGCTGATGAAACTAAAAGCTATGTCGGCGTGGTCGCTTTTCCTTATGGAAGCCAGGATCGAAAAGTTGTCAATTAGGAATTCTTCGTTTGTAAATAAACGGTCTAAGCGTGACGGCATCTGACTGTTTCTCAACAGAGTTGGTGACTTCACATTTTCGAATAATTCTAGATCTTCAATAAGGCTGAAGAACCGAACTTCAGTAGAGTTTTCACCTCCAATATACGTATGTTCCGCGAAACTGACTTTAGGAAGATTGAAGTCCCCTAGAGTAAGGATATGAAGGAATCTGAGACGAGTAGAGCCGGATAACTCTTCCAGCATGTGATTGTCTTACTCGTTGTCAGCAGTGGGCTTCCTGCAGATGGCCAACTAGACACCTTGAGGTGGAAGATAATCTTATTGAGCACCATACAGATTCATCAAGATTGATAAACTCTTGGTTGTGCGCCTGATATAACTCCAGACAAGATCGCAAGCATAAGACTATCCCGCCCCCATCCCTGTTTTTCTACAACTGCGAAACAAGGACATCCCGGGCTTTGCAAGCTCCTGGTCCGTAAAGTGAGAAGATATCCAAGTTTAAGATATTCCTCTTAAATGAGCAATATTAGCATTACTCATGTAGTTCATCAATTTTGTTTGGTAAACTCGCTGTGTTCATATATAAGCAGTTTATGCTTTCGATTTGGAATGTCTGGGCTTCCCCGCCCTACTTAGGTGTATCAGTTTTATGTGAATGAAAAAGTAACCTAACTATACAAGGTTTTCCGAGTTGGTAGCTTCTGTCCTTTGCACGTTTTTTATTATCACGACAGCCGACAAGTGGAATGGTCAGCTCCAACTTGTATTTGTGCTTGATCCTGGCGTCTTGTGGCCTATCCGGATGCATTTGGATCCCGGTTGGTAACCGGCGTCTGTTGGCACGAAATGCTTACAGAGTTGCGGCCGCCATATGGGAGCATGGGAAGGTTATCTACATCAGCCGGGGTCAATAATCCCCGTCCTTCTTAGTTAGTCTCACCACTTGTTGAGTCAATACGTTCCTGAGCTCCAAGGATTGTTTGATGAATTTCCATTCCCTAACATCAGAGTTTATGTGACGAAGGTCCGTGTTTTCTGGTATATCTTGCACGATGATATTTCCTCCGTGGAAAAACTTCTCGCGAGATTTTTTAAGGATGTTCCAGACGAGACCACGCTCAGAATATACGATGAGCCCGCTTGTGATTTGGTACGAATGAGTAACCTAGCCATCAGCTAGGTTATGTTCAGTATAACTAATTACATCAGCACCAACACGAAGACTCACAGAACTATTTAGCTTAATGACTCATTTACTGCTACATGCTAAAGTGGGATCTTGTCATATAGCACTTGTTGTTAGATCCACAAATCGGACTTCTTCAGTGTTTGTCCCACTGAAACAATTCCAGTCAGGCACTCACGAATTCGATAATTCAAAAGACTATAATGGGTCACAGTTTCTTGAGAATTATTTACAAAACATTCAAAATAGTTTAGGAGATACCCAGGGGATGTATTGGATGGTATTTTGCCGACTGGCGCAGACATTTGATAAAAACCTATTTTTACACTTGGAGGAAGCATCCCTAGCAGTCAAGAAACAATATCCTGCTTAAAGAAGAAGGAACAACCAGTTCACTTTGCCCCAGCTATGAGCAATTGGGTGAATAATAACAAACGTA